GCAGAAAAAAAAACAGTGAATTTATCTCTAGAGTTGTATATTATAAAACTCACACGGAGGAAGATGTTAAATAAATTAGTGCCAACATTAATTATGTTCACAACGAAAACGTATATAATTTAATTCCATCAATGTTTCCAAGTAGTTCTGGTTTAAAGCAAATATTTGTCCAATATAAATTAGTAGGTGTAATTTTTAACCATAAGCCCGTAGAAGATAGCACAGCAGCAAAGTGCCGTGGTTAATCCTTTTGATACAAAATGCTATCAATTAATTTATTTGTAATATTTAACAATTATTACAACATTAATTGTTGTAATAATTAATTTTTGTTGTCTTACTTTGAGTTATTGTATAGCAGTTTTATCACAACTTATCATTTTATCATAAAAAAAAAATAACTCTGAAATTTACATTAAATTATTTATATGCTAGTGAATAATCGACCACATTTCGCTGTACACATTCAAAAGCATGATAGACTAACTCAGATTCTTAAATTCTTCTTTGATATGATTCTTGAACAATTTATTTATTTAAAATTTAATGTACAGTGAAACTATGTACATATGGTGAATTTAACACGGGACGGTCTTCTCTACAGGTCCACCTTTGGACAAACCAAGAAATTAGTAGGTGGTGCATTATTGAGTTGAGGGAATACAAAAAGAAATATTTAATATATTCATATATTATAAACATTAATTAACCTAATATAAACATACATATAATATATTAAATAAATAAATATATAACTATATAAATAAGAACATATATAAATAAACACATAAATATTATTATAACAAACAATTAACTGTGTTAGAGAAGCAAATAAACAATCTATTATGATTGGAATTACTTTTGTTATTTTAGAATGCTAATATAATATGAACACGAATATCTGTAACACAAAACGAGGGCATTGCTGGTATATTGATTGATTTAGATACCTGAAAGTGCTGCAGGTAGCTATAAATTTAGCATTCGTTTCCTTGCCATTCTGAATAGTCTAGACCAACTAGGGCGGACTGAATCACTACTATACCAGTGTTAGAAAACTTTATTTAAAGCGTATCGTACTTGGTTTACTGCTATTTTAACGTGTATTCAAATATTTGTAAATGATCTACTCAAAATTATTATTTAAAATATTAAATAAATTATGTCTTTTGTTTATAAGGAAGTATTGTTATAAAAAATCATGGGTAAATTTTTCTCTAATAACATTTCAGAACAAAACCAATTAACGTACATACGAATGGAAATAGTAATATACTTATGACAATGTTTTTGATTTGCATGTTGATAAAAAACAGACATATATTTATATATACACGAGTATATATACGACAATGCATACAGTATTGGTAAATATTCTCTGTGTGTATTTGTTATCAATCTTGTAAAAATTTAAAGGCTACGATACATTAGTGACATAGACAAAGACTTCAAACTTATTTCCGTCAAGAGTCCTAAAATATATAATAGGCTTGTAAATCAAACTCAGCAGTCATCTACATCACAACCATAACTGGGGTTTTATCGATTGTTGATTTAAACGACTTATCGTTCGTTCAGAGTGAGGGACGTTGATATGTACGCGTTGTCACGGGCTGGGCATTAAAGAGATACTGCGCAGCATAAATTTACCAGTTGGATTTGTGAATTAAGTGGGCTTTTATTTGTTGTGTCACGTGCCGCGGAAGGGCATTCAGATCCTGTGCCTATTTAGCCCCTAATAAAGTTTCAAACCTCCCTTTTCATTCCATTGAAAGGAAACCAACATGTCCCAGTCTCGCCGAAGCCAAATTATTATTTACTTCTTATTTGATAGTAAATATTTTTTCGGGCGGCCCCGTAACCCCAATTCGTTTTTCTAATTCTGAGGTGGATTTCACTCGAAATAGGTAAAGGGTTCACACATACTGTCAGCGGTTGCAATTTCCTTTTGTGGCGTTCATTCGTTAAATTTTCATCGGCCGGCAGGGCGGATCTCCGTTCACGAGCTTCATTATTTAATTTGTACCGGATATTTCACGTTCATACATTAAACATTATGGACTAAATTGTTAAGTTTATATTCAGTATTAAATGGTACATCAGGGTTTTGTAAATTAACCACATCTGTTAGTTGAACTGCATGTAAACTAAGTCAATGATCAAGGACATTGTTTATAAATAATACATAATATTTAGTTAGATACTAATCCTTATAATTAGTTTATAAAAATTGAATATAAATACATTTGTAGAACTGTAGGAATGTCGAGTGTCACATTTACTACCACCGAAACAACTGTACAAATGCTACTGACTAACACATCTGAGATTACAATTGTGAGTATACAGTGATAGCATAAAATTTTCCTCATAAAAATTAAAACATACGTTTATTAGATTTATTTTATTTCTCTCTTTTCTAAATTCTTCTAAATTCAATGACAGTTACTTATATAATTAAATTTATAGACTTACTCGTATATAATTAAATTAATATAAAACCCACATTACTCGCTGATAATGTAGCTTTCTATAGATGAAACAGTCTTTAAAATAGGTTTAGGAAAATGGGAGGGAGGTATTGTTAGTAGTGTGGACTACCAGTCCCATTTTTAGCACATATACTCTATCAGGTCGACTCCCACGTAACCCCCCCTGGAAACCATCTTATTGGATTCCAGATATATTCATCACGATGAGCTGGCCTGCTTCTTTCATTCTTACCTATCATTCCTCAGTGGTACCCCACCAACATATACCGTTAGCGCAGGCGGGGTTACCATTCCATTATCATTCATAAAAACAACGGTTTAGGATTTTTTGAGTTTATTAATATTATAAATAGGAAAAATTTTGATTGTTTCAAATCTTTCATCAAAACTTTCCTATTTATAATATTCATATAGATATGTATTTATATGATTATTTTTCGTTTTGAAGACAGTCATACGTGATAGTGAAATTGCTGTTTGTGAAGATCTAACATATTCGTCCTCGGGAATAACAATGTATGACACAGTCCTTTGGGTATCATAGTGTAATTACTTTCAATCATGTATCTGTCAGCTCGTTTGTCATTCTAAGTGGTACATGAACCGAATAATTTAGCTACTTTCCAAAACACGTCAGCTTATAAAAAAATATTTTCTTTTTACCACATCTTAGTAACTCAGGATTATACCCAAATATCTTACAATTCATCTAATCTGTGGGACATACCGTGCCAATCTTTTACACTTTTTACACAACACTTGACTTCGGACTTCCACAAACCTTAGTTGACCAAACCCTCACTTAAGTTCCTTGAGCGATTGTCATCGAGGTCGAGTGCTAATAGCTGAATTAACGTTCTTTCCGAGTCACGGAGTGGAATCTGTTTGTATCCGTACTTGAAACAAGTATTTGGAAAGTAAAACAAATGTTTGTTCCAATTAGGAAAATCAAAGCTTAGCTGTAGGTCAGCCGGTTGCCAGTTCATCGTGCTCGTTATTTTTCATATCACTAAATAAGTCGCGTGAAAATATCATGTGAGTTATCATTTAAAATTCATGGCGATCGAATGTTAACTACAAATATTTTTCTGTTACTGGCAAATAAATGATGAACGATGTATGTTGTACAATTATAAAGCTGGTGAAGTGAGAGTAAAATTGCATTTCGTCAGTTTTATATCGATATATATTAAATAAACAACTAACAAAATGTTATTTTATTTTTATTTATTTTTTTATTGTATCAATCGAATTTAAAAAGGAAGTTTTTATTTCAAGTATATTTTAATGCCAGTAATGTGAAAAACTGGTAGCAATATCGGGATATTGTCGACAATTATACAATGATTATATTTCAACAGATAACGTTTAAATATTGATCTTGTACTAATATTGTCTCGAAAGAATTCCGTAAATTTGCCCTAAAATTTTAAGTTCACATATGATAATATGAAGAACCCCTACTGCCTTTATTTATTTAAAAATATAGTAAAATGCCATTAAATATTTATTACATTTTCTGTCAACTCTATATTTTGTTAAAATGTTTTCTATATCTAAAATATTTATATAGGCATACATGCAGTGATTATAGTATATATAATCACTGCATGTATACCAAAAATAAATACTTGTAAAACGATTTGAATGATAGGGATTACCTATAACGGGATATTAATAACGCCCAGACTGACAGGTAGAGAACAGAGGTGAAAGACATTGAGCGCCTCCGGTATTGCATATTTTATAACTGCTATTTTTATCATTTACATGAATAAAATAGTAGATATAACATTATCAAATAATCTAATGAATTTTAACAAATTCAAAATTAATAATAAATTAGAAGAGATATACACAGTTATGTTCCTGAAGATTACACCTCAAAAAGTGGAGCATGTTTTGTCTTAACATGCCATATAGAAGTGATGTATTTCATTGGGTTTTCTACTTTTGAATTGCAAGCATACAAAGTAGCGAACAAAAATTAATAATATATTATAATATTATAACTGCTCAAGTTTATTTCATATGGGAACCCATTTATAATGTAATATTATGTACTTTTAACATGTTAAATATATTAAAAATTAATATATCTAATTTAATGAAATAATTATATACTCGTATATTGATAATTTATATACGTTAAATATTTTTTTTATATTCACTAACACTAACTGTGAGTAAAGTGACAGTTTCTATTTTCTTTTTTCGTGATAATGGACAACCGCGATTTCTGTGACCTAGATCTTGCGAGCTGAAAGCGTGGGTAGAATACTGCACCGTGTAGAGTCAAACCGATGTTAACAGTAGTTTAATTCACTATTACTAATATTTTAAAACTATATGACAACACAATAATACTTGTCATTATAGTGTAAAAAGCAATACGGATACAAAAATAATAAACATATCTATATAATACAATTTATTATAAGAAACAGATTCGTAGATTAGATTTTGAATGTAATCTCTAATTACACTTTAAACCGACTTAAAAAAGAACGAGGTTCTTTATTCGGTTGCATTTTATTATATTTGTTACCTAATAACTTCGCTAATTGTAAACCGATTTGAAAAATTCTTTTTTTATCGGAAAGGATATACTTAAAGATTTTGATAAAATTTCTATGGGAGCAATATAGAAATTTTGTTAAAATGACATTGTTATTTAGTTTTCAAATTAAAATAACTGGTTTTGCTATAACTGAAGCTGTTTTTGTTTTGGGAAACACAATTTTAAGTTATAATTTAATCATAGTATTCCGTAGCCTATGAACTCATGCAATAGAAGGAGTATCACAAATTCACTGTGTCACGAACCCAACAATTTCACTGTCATAAATCAAACTTCAAGCTCCGAAATAGAATTATGCAAGCAATTCAAAGTTGTAGTAATATGTTAATATATACATCTTATATACTCACATATGTATCTAATACATACTAATAATTTCAAATATTTCTATTTTGATGTCTAAGTCGATAAGGTATCTACATTGGCATTTTTCAATAAATATTCCTTATACAAAAATGGACTCATTACAATCTTATTAGGTGTATAAAAAAATGTTTCAGTGCAATACAGAGCCAATCATTAAATTATATTTTTTCTTCTTGATAAATGACACACAATACGATCACGTTCTGCAGCCCTGAGGAACGTGACTATGATGATGTATCCATTCTTCAGACTCGTTATTCCTCATTACGCTTTCGTGATGGTGATTCTTGAAATGTCTGTCCATTGAATCCGGTAAAATGTCGTTATCTAATAAAAGAAAAAATGTAAAAGATAAATAATAATGCACTAGTTTAAAATTATAATTTTCTTTCAATAGAGTTACGAATCTCTTCTCTTTCTCTGGAATATTCATCATAGTCCGTTTTTCAGGTGACCATTACTATTGATTACTATGTCTTCACGATATATAGGCATTTCTATATTATATAAGACTTGAAGGTCTTATATATGTATCATGCAGTATTTTTAGCATGATCCCGGAATAAACAAACAGACCGATAGACAGAGAAAATTGTTTTGACATCTATTGTTCTTATTAATACTCTTCATATTAATTTTGCTTAAATATCTCTAATATTAACAATCTAGTTACAATTTCATTATGTTATTATATTATAACCTATATTAATTAGTATAAGGTTAGATACCAGTCAGTCTGATCGTCTGTTTCAAAGCTAATTTAGATTGCAGATTAATTTGTGTGAACTGTAACCAATGGTAATCAGAGAGACGATTCTAGAAATTGTATGGAAACGGACTACTGTTCAAAGCACGATTGATTTTAGAGCCATATGTCTGAGTGCTTACTGTATAGAACCCACTAAAGAAGTCTATTATAACTACAAGGCTGTATCGAATCTATAACTTATGAACAGATAAAATATTTTTCTATTTAAGACACGCAAACTCTATGGAAAAATATTGAATATCAGTATTTTCTTTAACTTGATTTTAGGCAAAATATATAAATTATTTTTAACAGTTTTTTATACATAAATAGAATTAATGTCGTAACATATTACTAGTAGTAGAGTTACTTTGATAAATTTCAAATACATCAAATATTCACTAAAATATAGTCAATTATAAATAGTATTAACAAAATAAAAATATGTATATAAAAAAGAGAATGGACCGAATAAAACGTTTATTATAGACAGTAAACTTCAAAATAACATATCAACACATCGTAAGATTCAAACCACACGCAAGTACGTCTAATAATATGAATATTTTATTGAATACCTCAGTAATACTTTAGGGTTCACAAATATTTTATTTATAGCCTACGTAATCCTCTGACGCGTTTACAGATCCTTCCACGGGCAATAAAAACAACCAACTATACAAAACACAAAAATGTGACGGCGAAAACGGGTGGACACGTAAAAGATTTCAGGGAACGACCTAAGATAAGCTCATACACGTTTACATGAGTAAAAAGTCGGGTGTTCGGGTAGCAAAATCCGATTCGTCATAAAAGTATAATAATAGTGGGTCGGGGGTGCCGCAACAACAGCGGTGACCTGCCGGCTACAGAGCGCGCGCCGCCGCGGCAGTCTTCTGTGGAGCTTTCTAATGACCTCAAGCGTTCTACGTTGCGCGCCAATACACATTAAACTACATTAAAAGAGTTAAAAACTTATATGTTATTGAAATCCAGCTTGTTTCACGCGTGGTGAACCTTTAGTGCGGCAAGGACAGGCGCACTCCGGTCTCTCCCTGCGCCTCGGCGTTGACGCGCAAAAATGGACCTTAAGCGTATGAGAATAAATGTGTTTTGTAATTAGCCAGACGCGTATGTCAGCGCAAACGAAAATCTAGGTGAGTGTATAAATATTTCATTATAACAACTTTTGTTGGAAATTTAGTTAGAAGAGTAAATGTGTTTGTGACTGAAATTAACATTGTATGTCTATTCACTAACTTTAATGTAGGTACCATGCTTAGTAATTTATTATTTTAGCTAATTGTTACCTGGAACTACGTTGTTAACTTGTAAAATGTAGTGCAATGTAATTAACTCAATGTAGGAGTAATATAAATATGAAAACAGTAATCATAATTCATGGCATAATAATGTTATGTACATAGTAATGTCAAAGTTATATATATGTTGTACTATTTACTGTTACATTGAATTGAGATCTATATACATATCATTGCCTAAGAAGTAAAATATCTTTTGTAGTACACAAAAGAAATAAAATAAGTACTTATCATTTGTATTTAATTTGAAGATATTATTGTAAAGAGTCCTCCTTATTGTAATATAATTTTGATAGTATTTTTTTATATTTAATAACAATTATAATATATAAATATAATTGATATACGCGTGTACTTATATATGTCTGGTTTTTGTTATTTTTATTTCTTTACTTTTATTAATACATTTAATTCTGATTATCGCTTATCAGTGACATAATACTATATATTTCCTTTAATATAAAGACAGTCATAAAAGTGATATCCATTGTAACCACGAATTTAGCTATTAAAAATAAGTAAATAAATTATCAAATATAGTTCTCTACTAAAATTATGTCGCTGTCTCAAGCAGTATATTAGGAAGTTCTATAACTATACCATAAGAATCTAATATTGTCTCACTGCTGAACATTGCTATTTATACATTGAGGATCATCATCCTCATCATTTCAGCCACTATCCATCCACTGCTGGATAGAGGCCTCTCCCATAGATTGCCATAAAGAATGGTCCTGAGCCACTTGCATCCACTGGCTCCCTGCTCTGTATTTAAGGTCATCACTCCATGTAATGGGAGGTGGTCCTACACTGCGTTTGCCCGTACAAGGTCCCCACTCAATCGCCAACTTCCCCATCGGTTGTCAGTTCTTCGAGCTATGTGACTAGCTCATTGTCACTACAGTTTGTTTTTCCTTCGGACTATGTCAGTTACTTTGGTTCTTTTGCAGATATCCTCGTTTTGGATTTTATCACGCAAAGAAACTCCGAGCATAGCCCTCTTCATAGCCCGCTGAATAATTTGAAGAAGATTTTAAAGGAGGATATGTTTCTATTATTACCATGCTAAGCAACTTAGAATAGGGTTTTATTTTGATAGTTTCTTCTCTTACGCTATTTTATTTTATTCCCTGTGTGTTGCATTCCATTAGCTATTTTTTACAACTCTTTGGGAATAAGAAATAGTGGTTACATGTGGGATAGGTAAGGAAAGTAAGAATGGAGACTTTAATAAGTTAGTGATAAGTATCAAATAAGGCAATTTTTAGAAACTTATAATTTTTCATGTAATTCATTCTGTGTTTTCCAATGGAGCCATCTTTGTTTATAGGCAACGAGGTACCTTCATCAATCAATCTTTCCTATTCGTAGAATAAATAAATATTGTAAGTTGATATATATATATTATATATTCAAGCGGGTTTGTGAAAATATAGATATACAGTTATCTACGTAATTTGGCCTAACATACTACCGAGTGTCAGTATTTTATCTGAATGTACACTCTGAGTAGGAAAAATTTTACTCTATTTATAATCCTTCTAATACACTCGTAATGTAAAAGTTTGCGATGTTTGAAGATGTTTGCATGATTACTCAATAACGAATAAACGGTTGATCGGATTTAGATTAAAATTGGCACAGAAATAGACTTTTTTATATTAGTACGTACGATACTTTTTATTCTGCTGGTACATTTGGATAATTTTCAATTTCAATCCACACTTGTCTATTAGATAAATAAAATTTTCATTTCATTTTACTTTCCGCATTTTGAAATTTGATAAACAAATCAAAGTTTATATCAATACTATTAATAATTTTATCTGAGCTGCATTGCTACATACTGAATATGTTAAAAAATGTTAACTCGTAATTCGATGGTGTAGAAAGACATGGACTTACTCCTACTGTGTTCCAAAAAAAATATGTCAGTCAATCCCTCGGATCTTTGCGCATATACTTAATACTTCACCTCGAAGCGTATGTATTCCAGAGGGGGACTGTACAAATCGTCTACGTCAGTACCTCGGTCACGCTCGTGTTTCTGTCGTCAAACATCAAGCACATACTTGCGTGGTTGTTTCGGATTGAAGAGTGATACAGTACCGAATCATAACGTCTTAATGTTTAAAAATGTCAACTCATAAGTACTATGAACATCATAGTGGATTCTGTGATATTCAACACTATAAGCGATTTTATACAATAAATACATGATCGTTACTAGTTCTACAAGGAAATTTGTACCTTAACCAACGAATATGGGATATGAAAGTAGTTGAGTTTTTGCCTACTAGTGGAACACTATAAGTTATTAATAATTTAAAAGTAACATATTTGTTAATTCTGTCAATATAATATAAAGTAAAATTTGTAACAATAAATTTTTAATATATACTTTGTATAACATTAGTTTATAATGTTATAAAAGGTATATTTCCTTATTATGATGTGTTAATTAGATTCATTTTATTTCTTATACATTAATAGTCTGTCCATGTAAATGGATAATTTGTAAAGGTGAACTTATTGGGTCACATCTGAAAGGGAAATGGGTCCATTTTCTTACCTTTCAGTTGCAGATGACGACTTAACCAGCACACGAGGTAACGACAAGGGTAAAATGAACATGCCTGTCGATCTTCTTTTATGCAAAGGGAATAGTTAATTAAAGATTTTTGTTCAAGAAGTTGACTTAATACATTATATACACTATATAAAAAATGTATTTAGTATTTAATTATGTTAAATCTAATAATATACATACATAATCTTCACTAACGACTTCATCCACATGCATACGAAAAAAGTAATCTATGTTCTTCTTAATTCCAAATACTATTTTTAAACTAAATTTCATAGTGATTGGTAAAACCAATAAGGCACCAAGAGACAACCAATAAACTCACTTTCATATTTATAATGTTAAAATAAAAAGTTAATGCTATTTATATTATAAATGCGAAAATTTATAACGATTGTTGGATCAATGTTTGTTACTTTTCTACGCAAAACTCACTAAATTGATTTAAATGATTTTTTTTTACACAAGTACGTTATATTCTAACATAGCACGTAGAACACTTTATATCAGTATATATATGAATCAGTTTCATGCGGGTGAAGCCGCGGGATATAGGTAATAAATTATAAAATAATTCTGTTGTTATTTATTATTTTGTGTTCTTACCAATACCGCTACTAAATAAAATAAAAAGATTATTAAAAAAAAAGAAATATAGACATTGCAATAA